ATGCCCTCTACACGCTGGAAGCACAATAGTATTTTTCCTTCTTCTCCCTCTATTTACTTAACTAATCAGTCACTAACACTTTATATGATACTGTAAAAAAAATCTGAATCACAAACCTAAAAGCTGATTCTCTTGTTTTGTTTTGTTTTGTTTTTTTGGCTGAAAAAGCTACGACATTAATCTAAGCAATGGCGCTTTTGCATCACATTTGTGTCCCATAGCTGCACACTGCACACATCAGTGATTTGTGGTGAAGCGCCAGAGTCTGGGAGGAATCCACCAGAAACCAAAAGACAAGAGGCATAGTCAGCACCTTCACACAGAAAACAAGGGGAACAACATGTGTTTATCACTGCACTACTGGGAGGACCAAGTTACGCCGCTGACTGGAGTTACAGTGCCAGGAAAATCACAGGGTCCGGGCATCAAACAGGAAATTTTCATTTTACACGCCTACTGTGGTCGAACAAAGACATTTTAGTAAATGATTCATTCAGACTTTCCATGAAGAGGGATGTTTCTGTAACGCACAAACACACACACTCAGTCTCATGTGGTGACACTAGCTTTGTGTGGTGTCCTAATCTTTGTGACCGTCTTGGCTTTGCTCATTGCTAATCAGCCAGCCACTCTTATCTGCCTGTTGCTTTGGCCAAAATAAACACAGGCCGCCTTTTTATTGCTTTGTTTTCACAGGTCATTAGGGGAAGGAGAGAAGACGCATTGATTAGTTTTCCAGACCGCTGGATTATTGTTGTGTTATGACTGTCATCATTAAGTTTCATTAAGGTTATGGCTGTTCATTGTTTCCAGAAAATGAAGACATTGCAGGAAAGGCGAGTCGGGTGGAGAGCAGACAGGACACCATACTACTGTAGAAGGTAAGTATTTATGTTAGATACCTGTTTGAGTGAGCAGCGAGTTGTCAGTCGACCACCCCGATATTCTGATAAGACTGATCTCTGTCCCCCTTTTTCCACATTTATAAGTACCACTCCTGTCCCGTCAGTCATATTTTCTAGGCTACTCTAAAACACTGAGCTGCTGTAGTACATTTCACATGTATTTGAAGTGAGTAAAGGGAAACTTAATGAAGCAGCATCAGTCTCAGGCCAGGTCCTCCAAGGCATCTTTGCTCTTGAGCTACACATATGCTCCCAAAGCAGGGAGAAACTCGACTCTGTCACCAGACTAATTAGTATGTGTTAGCTAGTTAGTGAGAGGGCGGCTCACTGTGATGTGTACTGAAGTGGAGTAAAACACTGGGGCAAGGACTGTACTAATGGCCCTCTTCCTCCCCACAGGGACCCTCCCTGCAGCTCTGCACGTGCTGTCATCAGTGCGGCCACGGGGCACCCGCAGCGCTGCCACTGCGCCGGGGGAAGGCGCCTGACTTGGCTGGCATCATTTTCACGCAGCACTGAGCAATGTAACAGCAGGTGACAATGACACTCCCTAACACACACACGCACACACAAGCAAACTGAGAGTGAGGTGCAGGCTGACAGACTCATCAGCCTATGAAATACCTCAGCCAGCTGGGGCTGCCGCACTAGCTGCCTGGCATCATTTACAGGAGAAGTTTGAGCATTAGGGAGCTCTTTGGTACTTGGTTTGCAGGTGTAGGTGGAGAGCGCTGACGGCAAGCGAGTGTATCTCTGTCAGTGTGAGTAAACAAACAGTGGCGACACAGTGTGACAGAGTAAACAGCGTACTACCCAGACACAAACACACATAGACACATGCAGACGCATCAGGGAGCCGAAGGAGAGCGGGAGAAAAGAGGGGCGGGTGACATCCATATTTATAAAGCCTTTCCAGCATTTGTCCCCAGGCCAAATGCTGTGACTACACTCAGCTAATGTCAGAACAGCACTTAACCAGGCATTTCCAGTTTGTCATGGGCAGGAGGGAGTATGTGGGATAAATACAAGACCAGGGCAAAAAAAAACACAGAGACAAACATGGTAGGAAATGAAGAGAAATGCACTGCTGTTGTGTGCTGTGGCAATTATGTTCTCAAACAACACCTATTTCTTTTTAAACTTTCTATTTTAAAGGTGCCTCGGAATACTGTAGGTGTATGAAGCCAATAGTACACTTTAAAATTAACCAATATGATGGTTTGTGCCACAAAAGAAAAACTTTCACTGCACTCTGGTCAGGAACTGTCAATGATTTTGTTATTAAAATAAACTACAGATTAAAGTATACTTTAATTTATGGAATAGGAAAGACTCTCCATTGTATCCTCTTGCTTTAGTATCTCCTTTTCCTTTTTTGCTGTAACAGCGACACATCTGATCCTATAATCATCTTCTTATTAGGTGTAACTTCAGCTCAACCTAGTGCTATCTGTATTTTTGGATTTCAGCATCATATTAAATTTGTGCAAACTGCAAACTCCAACCTGGCCTGAAAGTTGTAGTGTCATATACTGCTACTGTATTTATGATCAACACTAGCCTTTGAGAGGGCGCCAAATCTGGATTTGAGATGAACACAGTGAAGGCCTCTCTGAGCCAGGCACAGAGAAAAAACTGCATTGCCATTATAACATCAAAGAATGGAACCTTCATGACTTCATGAGCCCCTTATTTCATAATAATTACTGACACCAGTGAGAGTGTTGTCCTGTATTTTCCTGCTTAGTTTAAAAGATGTGACAGTGAAGTGCAGGCACTTTGAAGGCATTACTTGTCAGGAATGCAAAGAATGGCCTGCTTATCCTTTGGTCACCTGTCCCCAAGTTTATCAAGTGTCAGGCTGGACATTCACTTGACATCGCCCCCCACAAAGCATCCGGAGAGGCTGAGGGGCCCACAGGCCTCATCAACATGTCAGCTTTCACCATAGACACAAACAGCCCGATACCCCCAAAGAGAGCTGATTAAGTGGGTGAAGTAGCTCCTTTTAGCACAGTCTGTCATTATTTCAAGTGGCATGTAATTGTTTTGTGTAGCGAGAGCCATTATGCATCCACTGAGAGCGAGGACTAATTGCGGAGGCTTACATTTATTCATTTGTTTGCTGCCAGTTGTCCCAATATATTTTTGGGGAGGTGCAATAAATGTTTGTGTTTCTGTGTTTTTAAATGGTTTGAGAACTCGTGGCGATGTGGTAAAAGCCACAGTGTTCCTGTTTGTGTTCCCAACAGAAGCTGACAGTCAACATGAGGCAAAAGATTCACATGTTAACCACTGCCCCGGACACTTCACTGACCACATATGGTGGTAAATGCATCAACATACACTACGCGTGACTGAGTAGTGGATGTGTTAGGATTTAGCGTGAGAGTGTGTTGTTATTCACTGTGTTCACTAGGCACAGGGAGGTGAATTGTGACACACACACAAAAGAGAAAGTCAAGAAGAGAGATGAAATGGAGTCATTAAGTTTGTGTAGTATGTGCATGCGTGCAAGACTGAAGGAGAGCGTGCGTTGTTAATCTTGGTCAAAGGTTTTTTTTCTGACGGTGAGTAAAGATAATACGGCTAAAGCCCTTGGATTTAGCACACTGAGATAATGAAAGCAAGTGTAATTAGCAATTAGATTTGACCAAATTAAGGCAGAGGTAAAGACAGCATCAAGGCTACTAAACAGTATTATGGCCAGAGGTGTGCTTAGTCTTTTTTCCCCTTCAAGATATATTGAAATAAAAGGATTGTGAGCTGGCATAGATGGGCAAAAGATGAGGAAGGTTGCTTGCTCTTATCTTTGAATGGAGCAATAACTCAGTATCTGTGTTTTTTTTTTTTGTCTAATGACACCCTTTCTACTGCTCGTGAATCTTTTTTTAAATCACATCTATTCCACTATTTCTGCTTTATCCATAAATGACAAGTTTCCACTATTCACAAGGCTGTAAGCACTGGGTTTATTGACGACTGTGTTTCCCAGGCTTGACAATTGAGGTGAGAGAGCCACTTAAACCCCCTCGCACACATATTATTAGCATTACCATATCTGGGCCTAACTGCAGCTAAGGGGAATAATGTGTGTCAGGAGAGTGTAAAATTAGAACCAAAACCAACACTGCTGTTTAAATCCACTTCCTAAGTCCCATTTTCCTTACTCATAGCCAATGTCAAACACTAATAAGCCAGCTAATTCAATTAAGACTCCACTACTACCAGATTTCCAAAAAAACAGACTTTGTGAATAGATTCCCTCACAACTCTACAGAGAACTTTTCATCATGAAAAAGTGGCCTTTATCCATCAGCATCAGTGTACAACAGAAGGGAACATGCTTCTGAGCTTGTTAGCAAAATACCCTGATGTGAGGCGAGAGATGTGCGACTAAAGCTGGATCTCTTAAGTGCCTGTCACCCTGATCTAACCCGGGGAGAGCTCTTTGTAGGCTGTGTATCCTCTGTCTGTCTCTCTGCGCTCCGCAGTGGCTGGGGATGCCGTGTAGCTGCAGGTGACAGGGAGCCCTTTTTGTTGTCAAATCCTGATGGAGCTTCCACATGAAAAAACATTTCACTTGAGCTGCTGCTGCTCTCTTTCTCTTCCTTCCTCTCTGTCTCTCTCTGTAGATCTCAAAGGCTACAACTACAGTAGTGGTACAGAGACAGAAGCAATCAATTTCTTACTCTGTTCCCCCCTCACTTTTTTTGTCAGGCTTTCTTTCATACTTTTTCCTACTTCCCTCTGCCTCTTCTATTGTCTCTTTTTCTGACCATGCCTTTTCTTTTCTCTGCTCTTTTAACCCACCTCTTACCTCCCTCCGTCCCTCCCCCCTTTGGCTTATAGATCTGAGCTGGGTCTCAGGAGGAAAATACAAGTCAAGCCATTGTCATTTCAAACAGTGTGATAACCAGACACCAGGCTGCCCACTGACAGCTCAGGGGAGCTGGCCTTGGCTTTGACTGTTAGCTCCCTTCTCTCTTTCTTCCTCTCAGACTCACCTCCTCTGTTTTCCTCTCCTTCCTCCTCCACCCCCCTCTAGGAGACTCACTCGGTAGCTTGTTGTTGTTTGTTGCTTTCTGCTGCCGTGTCTTGCATCGGCTCCTCTCTGCTCTCCTCTCTGTGCCATGGAGGGCCGGGGGGAATCGTTGTCTTCGTGTGTGTAGCAAGGTCAGTGCTCTCCACATGACAGTTCTCTGCCTCTCGACAAGGCGGGAAATCAATACTTTCGGACTTGTGGCGCTGCCCTCGGTGTAACAACAACACTGCCCAGCGAAGAGCGCAGCTCAGGCACCTGACACGTCCCCAGCTGCCCCCCACCCCCTACCCCCAACAGGCTCTGTCAGGGAGCCCCTTCTACTCTTATTCTGACCCTTTCATATTGTACCAAGGCTTTCTGTTTCACTTTACTTCACCTTTCCTCTTTATGCTCCTTTATCTTCAGGGTTTCAGACCTGTGGCCTATCAGATTCCCTGTTTTTTTTTTATATTATCCAATGCATGTCTCAGTTATGTCTCAGGATGTTTCTTGTATGTGTTGCTACATGTGTCTTGGAGACAGGTGAGCGTGTCTGTGTGCGTAGAGTGTGAGATCTCTGCAGAGATCAGGCAGCTGATCGGACAAGACTATAGAGGAGCTGCTAAACGAGCGACATGCTACTAATTACAGAGCAGCAGAGGATACACACACACACACACAACGCAGAGCCATGGGTGACATTTTTAATACAGCACTAAAGCCTGACATGTCTCCATATGCTTTTTCACTGCCAAATAGACACTCAGACAAGAAAGGGAAAGTGCTAGCAGCACACCAATTGTTAAGCCTGCGTCTAATGACAGAGGAGAATGTGTGCAAGGCCAATTACTGCTCCCGTTCCTCAGCAGTCAAACAGAGTAAAACTGCCGCTCTCAGTCCCTGTGGAGAGGCTCCACAATCGACCAGATCCCCCAGGTCTCTCTAAGGGACACATGCGAGCATATGTTCGGTACACTTAGCGCGAACAACTGCATGTCCATCAACAAGGCCATCTCCCTTCATCCCCTGACTTGCTCCCTAAGTTCAGCTAGAGTAAGGAAAAAGCATCAAATAAAACAGCCACTTTAATGGATTAGGTATTGAGCTGTTCATTAAAAAATCAAATTCCCCGAAGTCAGCAGGGAATACATAGTACCAGAGTGTAACCCGGGGATGTATGCGACTTGTTTAGAGGAGTCATAAAACACAGGGATTTGATGACTGTACTGAACGTTCGCCAGAAATGTCTAATGTTCAGGAATTAAGTGGCTTGTATTTGAACAGTGTGTTTTCCTGCACTGGTGGCGAGGCCTCTTCTCTCACACCTCTTATAATCAGCCTGTTGTGCTCTTACTTTCTGGAGGCAAAAATTTAAACAAATTAAGTCTGTTTTATCAAAAACAAAAAGATATGTGATTAAAATGCCATTTGCAGATGAAATCAACAGGACAGGGTAACCTACTGCTTTACATGAAAAATGCCTGGTGAGAGTAA